TATATATATATATATAATATTATATACGTTCTCTCTCTTTCCCCCTCATCACCACTTTCGCAAATGTCCAAATTCCATTCTTCTCCACTATTCCTCCCTCTCCAGGTTCACACACACACACACACAATCAATATATATATGTTCTGATTATAGCTGGAATTTGTAGTTCCCATATATCAAAATCTAATTTTAAATTTTGCCCCAACGTTCAATCTAATATCGTAAATAGCGGAAATATAAAATTCAAACAATAAATATATCATAAACGCCGCTTTTTTTTATTATTTAACTCACTAATTCATAAACCCTCACACCATAGAAACTAGCTAATATGTTACACATATAAATTTGTTACAAATTACTGATTTTTACGTACTAGGTTCATAAAATGACGAGATTATACATGTCGATTCAAGGGTGCTATAAAATTCTACAAAAGAAAAGACTTTTAATAAAAACTAATTACGTATATAGTATATGCATTTAATAAATTACGGAATAATCTATTGCCATTTATATGTGTGGGAACTCGGGTATTAATGTGGTTTGGTTAATTTTTAACAATTACAAAGACATATGCATTTGTATAAATTGTCAACTTTTAAAAGATTTTAAAAGGAAAAATTAAACTAAATTATTTACTATTAGTTTTTTTAAATTTGTTATCATTATAATGTTATAGTTAAAACTTCATTAATATTATTATTATTAGAATTCCAAAAATTTTTATATTTGGTCGAACATATTTGATATATAACAAAAATAATAACATAAAAATAATGTCAATACAAAACGGTGGCTAGAAGTTAGTTTCACAATAATTTTGTCCATACGTGAGATTATATATAAACTCGGTGTGATAAAATCCTTAAATTAATGACGCAACCACACCTAAAAATTAGTTATGTTTCTAATAAAAAACGCAAAGAAAATTCCCAGCCAAATTTAACTTAACCGACCACATCTCGATTTCTTTATTTCCCATGTCTAGATATAACCAGAGATATACGTATATGTGTTTGTAACTGTCCGAGTATATATACATAGACTTGTACATGTATGCATTTGCCGACTCTCTCTCTCTCTCTCTCTCTCTCCCTTTACTTATTAACCAAAACTAGCTTCTCTCGGAGTTTCTATCATCCACCACCATCATCACCACCACCATCATCGTGGTCGTCAAATCATGTCCTCCCATACCGATCTCTCTTCTCCGACACCGGCGTCCAGGTCGGAGAACCGAATCTCCGGCGCGCCCCAGCCGAAGAAACCGCCATCTTCCTCCACCTCCGCCGGAAAACCGCCGCAGGAGCAGCAACAACAAACCCTAAAATGTCCAAGATGCAACTCTCCAAACACCAAGTTCTGCTACTACAACAACTACAGCCTGTCTCAGCCCCGACACTTCTGCAAGACCTGTCGCCGCTACTGGACACGTGGCGGCGCCCTTAGGAACGTCCCTGTCGGCGGCGGATGCCGGAAAACCAAGAGATCCTCCGCCGTCAAGCCCTCCTCCATCGCCGCTGCCGCTTGCTCCACGTCTTCTTCTCCACTGTTCATGGAAGATTCTTCCAAGTTTTTCCACGGTCTGGTTCCTCCGCCGATGGATTTCCAACTTGCCGGATTATCCTTCAACAAGATCGTGAACATAAACCCTAACGAAACAAACAATCTCCACCACCTTTCTCCTTCTCCTCCTTCTTTGTTCGGAGAGCAAACCTCGACCGTCGATGTCGGGTCGGGTTTATCCCTGATGGGTTTCGGAGATTTTGCGGTTACGAATACTTCAACGTTCACCGGAGCTCCGGGAACTGTCGGTGTCGATGGGAATCTTGCTTCTTCGATAGAGACTTTGAGTTCTTTGAACCAAGATTTGCACTGGAAGCTTCAGCAGCAGAGGATGGCTATGCTCTTTGGCTCGGAGGAGACGACTAATTGCTCGGAAGCCGCCTCCAACGGCGTCGTGGAGAGGCCGCAGCCGATTCTATTCAGGAATCTTGAGACGAACTCCTCCAGAAGAGAAGTCTCAGGCGACAATACTCCTACGGAGTGGTATTTTGGTAATTCTGCCTACACCATCCCCAATAACAATAATGGTCAAGTCAATGCCACTTCCACTACAAGCCATGTTTGGAATGGTGTTCAAGCTTGGACTGATCTCAATCAATACAATACTTTGCCATGATTGATGGGTTCGACTTCGAATTACAGTCTCGGACACTGATCACATATATATTGCAAAGGAAGGCTAGAAGACGATCAAATTAAAGGGGATGAAAAACTATATATATTTCTATATATTTGTCTTAAGGTATGGTGTAATATTTCTCTCTCTCTCTCTTTTCGTTCTTCTTTTGCGTTTTATTGTATTCTTCCATCTTTAGTTGTTGGTTGACGCTTTCCAACTTGTAAACATTTGGAGTAAACTTGACGAGGAGAGGTGGATTCTCTCTCTTTTCTTATGTCAATTTTATCATCTTATTATATGATTATGAGTTTTCTTTTGCTGTCCAATGTTGTGAGATTTTGGTACATTAACTGTAATAAATTGCATGAACCTTTGATTTGAGAGACGTGACTGATAATGAGATATGATGGTATGGTCAAAACTGTCTTTGTCCTCTTGCCAACAAGTTTAGCATATGCACTGATCAATTAATGACTTATATATATATATGGTTACAATCCCAATGTCATATCATTTAACTTATACTATAAATTATGTAACATGAATTAGAGAAAATTACATCAAAGATTACAGTCTCCAAAATCCTTGTCAGACAGCTGATTATGTTTCCTTGGGATCTGTGATATGGGTCATGTTTCTTGGTATTTTCACCCGTACATGTCATATGAAATTGGAGCACATAATATTTTCTTTCGTGCTAACACTGTTCAACCTTAAAATTAATCCCGACATAATTATAATTGTGTATATATTCCACGACTGGTAAGACTTAATATATCCATGCATAGATACAGGACAGAGCCAACAGAATGGTACGCCATATTCAAATGCTACATATATATGTCTGGAAAGAAAAAATAAATTATTTACAAGTAGCAGTACTATTCGCTGCATGGATATTTGTGCTATATATAAATATATATTAATGTAAAAATTAAATTGATCTGAGAATTCTGGCAATAATGACTGTTAAGTAAGAGCATGTAGAGCATCTTAGCCACTGGACTTATGTCGACTGTATGTGAAACATAAAGCAAAAAGAGAAGTTCTGCCCCTTTGCAGCTTCTTTGGCCCCTCTCCTCTATATCTATATACGTGATCTATTTTTGCCCTAGTTTGTGATACACACATACGCACACATATATAATATACACCCCCACACCCACATATACATCTATGTATGTGTGTGTGTCAAAGTGTATATATATGTACATGAAGAGCTTTTCAGTATTTATTAAGTACCGTGTTCTACATCTTCTTATCAGTGGCTGTTCAGCGGTATGGATTCGCTGCCCTTATATATCTCAGGTCTGAAACTTCTGAGAATCTTCCTCTGATGCTAGTTTTGTCTTATGCGTACATATATATGCATATATATCATTGTATATATATACGTACGATTGTATTCGGAGAGCATTGGGAGCAAGTACACGATTTAATAAACTGGCTATGTGCACGGTATCCCATACACCATAACAGTGGTTTCTAATGAGAAGTAAATGTTTTCTGTTTAGGCTAAGCCAGATATATTATAGGAGAATATATTAGAGATATATACCAATATTATCTCTGATATATTATTTGTATATATCTCTAACAAAATACATACTATATAATATAATAAGAGATGATATATATATATATATATAAACCGTGCATGCAACTCTAGATTCTTTACTCGATTGCTTTGACTTACCAGGGCAATGTCGGCCCCGCGATCTTATTAATTAACCCTAACATTTTATCCTTTAATGATGATGACACTCTAATACTAATTGCTTTTCCATTTAATTTAATAACCTCTCTAATTTTTCATCCATTTAGTATATATATAGTACCATAAGAAATCATATTTTAAGTTAGAATTTGAAACGAAACATATAATACGTTGAAAATAGTGAAATATATTTTTACAGTTATTTGAAGACTAGTAAGCTTTAATTAAAGATATATAACATGTGTAGCTCACAGGATATGAATTCACTTGGTTATCTCTAATTATCATTGAAAGAGGTCGAGGTTTTGACATACGTTATACATATTCCAAATCTGAATTATTTTATTTGTTACACAAAGATATATCATTTTTCACTTACAGAAGCCGCCTATATATGTGAGATAGTGTATACATATATGTGCCTTTGGAAATAACTAATGGATCTTGTCCCTTTAAAGGCCATGTTGGCTTTTTTTGTGTGTTACCATCTTTTAAGCGTTTCTATATATGATTAATCATTTGTGTATCCACTTTATGTGATCTTCCTAAGAATATTATGTTCGGTGGGACATGCATCATCACCTTTATATATACGTGTATATATATGTGTATATTTCACCTTTTGTTTTTTTTTTATTGGAATGAGCTTTATTGCTTTTTTTCCAGGACCATGAATAGAAAATAACATGCTAATTTTCATGCCATTTTTAAACCTAATTACCCACCGAGCCACCGCACACAACAAGTACATATAAGCACATGCATACGTATGTATATATATATAAAATAGGTTATAGATTTTGATATAATTGTGTGAAACGGATACGGAAAGGAGCGTGAGGAACGTGATAGGGAACCCCTTTTTTCTCTCTCAATTAAAATTTTGTGATTGCGTAACTGTTTTCATTTGGAGGGCATAATAAATCAATACGTCGATACTTCACGGTTTTGGGAGAACAAATACACGCAATGCGAGAAGCTCATGATTTCGGACTCGAGAGAGTTATACATGGTGTCATCATCCACGTCCCCCTATGCCCACCATACATTTAATTTCCCCCCAATAAATAAATGAATAATTAAATATACCTCTAAGAACCCTAAAATTTTAATTCTCCTTGTCATTCGCACACCAATACGAAAAGATGTTACGGAGAAAATCAAGAAGAGATGACGATAAATGCTTATTATAAGAGGATGTTAATGTTAAGCTAGATGTCCTTCCTTAATTATTCTATTAGTGTTAATTAAGTGCTTGTATGCCTAGTTACGTGTATTTATGTAAAGAAATTCATGAACCACGGCATAATTAATCTTACTTCTTGTTATGTTTTTTTAATTTATTTCTTTAAAAAAATTATTTATCAGAACAACAAGATTTATATCTGTTATTTAAAAAGTATGCTTTATTTTACTATAATATTAATTTGAAGATATTTTCGATGAAATACCTACCTAATGAATGGTTTTAATTAACAATTACATAATCGCGTACGAGATCTCATGGGTTACTAATGCTTGGGATTGAAAACAAAAACCTTGTATATATATATATATATATATATATATATATATATATATATCCATAATACTTTACACGAAAGAAAGTTTTCAGAAATATAGAGATAAAAGAAAAATTAATAATAAACAATGAATGTATAAGAGCAGATGTAGAAACACTAAAAACACCTTTCAAGATGTATAACTATGTTCTTAAAGTGGATCATCGAAAGTAAGGTACGTATATCCACTTGGCGACGAAGACGATGATCGTTCGTAAGAAAAAGGGCGAAATAAAGTTGAGTTTTTTTATTTATAAAAAAAAACTATATTTTATTTTACTTTTAATGAAATGTGTCAAAATCTCGTCATGAAATAACGTCTTTGGTTTTGGATGCAACCAAAATGCCAAATACAATAAAAACCCCAACCCCGACCTCAACGAGATGCATGTTTCTTGTTTACCCAAAATTACGTATTTCTCCTCGTTCCAAAATTTTTTTTTAAAAAATATCTATTTTATTGAGATTAAAACTATAGAAGAGTATTCTTTATTTATTCTATTTTTTTTATGTCGTGGATTGTGAAAAAGAATTATGCAAGAATTTAACTAACACTAGAAGTAGAATTTCTTCTAATTTATTCTATCATATATATATATATATATATATATATATATATATATATATATTAAACGAGCTGAAATGAATCTATACTTTTTTTTAACTAAATATTTAAAAAAAGTTGTCATTTCAAACAAAACACGACAAGGTGTGACCAATCCAATGTTGTTGGGCCTCTGTAAAGATGTCCGATGTATAATCGTTTCGCAGCTCATGATGGGCTTGTACAAGGATCCAATTAAACATCCATGAAATTGCTTATTGACCCTTCATTTTTATGCAATTCACTTATGTTGACGCATACTTTTAAATGTCGAAATATAGCCCCCTCCACCGTGTAACAATCTACCAATAATCTCCGCATGAACATGACCCATCTTTGAAATGGTGAAACCTCTTCGCATCTCTACAGATAATCTCTCTTCTGATGATTGTCGACACCATTTTAATCCAATTGTGGCAATCAGCACATACTCTTAGATTCTTCAGAATCCGAATACCGCCAGCTTTACCGGCGTTTCTCCATACAGCAAAAGCCAAGGCGAGTTTTTCGCTATGGTAATACAATGATCTCTCTTTCGCCGACTCATCCATATCTTGAAACACACAGCTCTTGTCCTCGACATAACCCAAATCTTTAGCCTTCTTGATCAGCTCTTCTAGTGTTTCAAGAATATGCTCTGAGTTTGGATGTGAGAGATCTCCAGCCATGAACGAATGCTTCTCTTTATCCACTTCAACCCAACTCATGGCCGGATCCTTTTTCAGCTTCATCTCCCTCATCTCACTCTTCATCTCGATCACCCGATTCCATTTTCCCGAGGCAGCGTAAAGGTTGGACATTAGAATGAGAGTTCCTTCATCTCCCGGTGCAATCTCGAGGATCTTCTTCTTTATCCGCTCTGCCATCTCAACATGTTTATGAATCTTACATGCACAGAGCAGAGTTCTCCACAGAACCACACCTGGGTTTGTCACATGGTTTATTATTAGCATTTCAGCCTCCTCTAATCTCCCTGCACGTCCAAGCAAATCTACCATACAGGCGTAATGATCATGTGTTAACACTGTCTTATTGTTTTTCTCCATTCCTCTGATGGAGCCGAAAATTTCACAGCCTTCTTCAACTAACCCAGAATTCTTACAGGCCAACAGTATGCTCATGATTGTCACATTGTTTTGCTCAAGACCCATATCTCCCATTCTCTTGTACAGTTCGAGTGCTTCTTGTCCAAAGCTGTTCTGAGCATAGCTGTAGATCATCATGTTAACAGATACCACATCAACTTCCTTCAGAGAGTCGAAAACAGACCTTGCCATGTCCGCGCACCCGCATTTCCCATAAAGATCTATGAGGCCTGCCCCGACATACTTGTCTTGGTCCAATCCATGTTTAACCACTATAGCATGAATTTGTCTGCCTTCTTCAAACATGGCTAGATTCGAACATCCCCCGAGAACGCTCGAAAATGTAAAAGAATTCGGAGTGACTAAACTACGCATCATCCTCCGGAATTTTGTGAGAGCCATTTCTTCTCTACCGTTTTGGACAAGTCCAGATATAAGAGAAGTCCATGTCACCTGGTTCGGGGCATCGATCCATATGAAAACCCGCAAAGAATCATCAACCAAACCGCATTTCATATACATTGTAAGAAGAGAAGTTTGTGACGCAAGAGCAGAATGAACTCCGGATTTTACCATAAGCCCATGAATCAGCCTGCCATTGTCAATGTCCTTCAAGTTCCCACAAGATGTCAGTACACTAGAGTAAGTGTACTCATTGCCCTTCACCCCTTCCGCCGCCATACTTTTAAACAGATTCACAGCTTCTAAATCTTCACCATTCTGCGAGCAACCAACGATCAAAGCCGTAAACAAGACTACGTCTTTTTCCTTCATGCGGTTCAACACTAACTTAGCTTCCGAAGTTTTCCCAAATTTCACATACATATCCACGAGGGCGCTTCCAACGAACACATTCGACACTTCCAAACCCAGAATCACGGCGAGGCTATGACATCTCCGGCCTTCCCGATTAAGACCCAGTTCCGAAAACGCCTTGCAAACGCTCGACAACGTGTATTCATCCGGGGAGATTCCCTCCATAACCATCAAGTTATACATCGTGACAGCTTCCTTGTTTCTTCCATGCTTTATGCAAGAGGCAATCATAGAATTCCACGTGACAATATGTCTCACAGGCATTTCGTCGAACAGCTGACGCGCGTAGCCGATCTCGCCACATTTCAAACTCGCATCGACGAGCTTTCCGCCGGAAAATTGGACCGGGAAACCACATTTGAGCATATGCGCATGGATACACTTGACGCCAGATATGGATTTCCCCTCTATGCATCGTCTGAGAAGCGGAGAAAAACTGTTCGTCGTGATCGAGGAATTACTCGTAACGCAAAGAAGCTTGAACTGACAATGGCGATAGTGCTCCGGCGAAGCCGTTCTAACAATGACACTGAAAATCCTCGAGACGACAAATGCGTCGTTTGAATTTCTTCTCATCTCCCTCGTGATTTTCTTCCCACCATTCCGGAATTACATCAATTTGACTTCCAAAAAAATTAAGAAATTATTTATTATTACACGAAAAATGAAAAACTTATCCTCGAATTTTAAATTTAACAAGTTTAATAGGCCCAAATAAGCCCATTATAATGTTATTATTGGGCCTAAATGGGCCTACCTTCCCCTAGAAAAAATGCCAGTCTCCTTTTTACTGCTTGCTTCATGTCATGTACATAGATAAAGATGGCATGCTCATCTTTGCCTTTCAATATAAACCAAAAGGACGACACTTTCACATAGATTTCGGACAACAACAACAAAAACCTGGTGGGTCAGGGTAGTTTAGTCTCTGTCTCCGCACAAAAGCCAGTTCTTGTCCCCTCACAAGTTTATTTGCTTGGTGGAGACCTCAGCTTATCGTCAGAGTCATGCTGCTTTAGAGAAGAATCGCCACCCATCAGTTCTTGGAACCCTTCAACTTTCACAGGCTGGGCCCTTACCATACCCGGTGACCTGCAATACAAGAACATCGGTCCATCTCAAATCGTCGAAAGACGAGGAGGAACCCGGGCATTTGGAGTTTTTAGTACACTACACTTACGGAGCTTGCATCTGAGGAATTTGCATAGAAGCCAATTGCCTGAATTGGTTATGGCCCGGCTGTTGGTGCAGATTCGACATTGCAGCCATCTGTTGCTGCCTGAGCTGCTGCTGTTGTTGCTGGTGTCGGGCATTCATAGGGTTGAAGACATTTCCATCTGGTGGCAGCTCTGAAGGATTCTCGAGCTTGACCTGTACCAATGGCCGATCCTTGTCCATGCCCACTTCCATGTTGGGCCGTGGTGATGTCACTTGACGCCTACGTATTCTCTCCAACTGCTGCTGTTGCTGAAATGTCAAGTTTTGGGAATGAATCATCTGTTGCTGCATCTGTGGATGCATTTGCCTTGGGATCTGTAATAATTCAGACAATTCAAAACCCAATCCACTACGAAGATTGTGATGAACAACAAGAACAGATTACACAGACTTGCTGGGGTAACCGAGGGGGAGCTTGTTGCTGCTGTGGATGCAACTGTTGCTGAATCACATGCGGTTGCTGCTGCTGATTTGGAGTGGCAAAGCTCCTGGTGTTGTCCTTAACCAGCTCCGATAAGCTCCCAAGGTTACTGTACTAAGAACACAGTTAAAACCATTTTAAGCAAATTAAACTGAAGGTTCTGTCACTTTCATATGTGTATGAAGTCAAAGCCAATAAATACATAAACCCATTAGAAAATCACTCAAAGTTGAAGCGTTATAATCTGCACAATTGGAAACAAACAAGTATTGCAATTTTTTCTTTTCAAGAATTGATCAATGCAAACCACTTGAATGATGCGAAAATCACTTTTAAAAGAAACTAACCTGTATCCTGTAGCATGAAGAAACATCTTAAGCAACTCAATTGCTGAACACTGCTTCCTGTAACTATCAGTGAGAACTTTTAAGATGCCCCCCAATTTAGAGACATGCCGGCTCAGTAACTGAGAGAAGACATCGACCGGAACCTCTGTTGCCCCTTCAAAACCCATGTTCATAAGCATGCGTGCTACAACTTTTCGTGACATTTGTGCTGCTTGGTCTTCACTAAGCCCCGGTTTGTCACTTTTTTTACGGCGCAAACCTCCTCTCTGTTCCATGCTAAGGTACTCAGGCATTATCCCAAGCCTCTCGATCATAACATGACTCCTGGATGTAACTTGAGGCAGAGTATCGAGCACTCCATAACACTCTACTTTCGAGTTGTCTTGCACTCTGGTAATCAGTGGAAGGGCTGTTTCAGGCACACAATTCATCCTAAACATTGTCTCGGGAAGAAAAAGTATATCATCTTCTGGAGAACTCCCATCGAATACAGGATTCGGATGTGCATTATATCTACCCATATGGGCTGAACTCCCGGGATTCTGATCTTCCTGAAAAGATGCACGCTTTCTCTTGTGGGTTTCCACGATTCTGAGGTAAGTGGACATCCCCTCAGGGGTGCGCTTGTCAGATTCTCGGTCTCCGACTGAAACTCCATATTTGAAACCATACCTTGAAATGAACTGACTGTACCAAGATTCTGGCAAGTCATCGTTCCTGGATCTCTGTGATAAATTACAAGAATTGGACTCGCTGCCTCTTGCCCCAGAGGAAAAACCGGGTTTGGATTGGTTCTGGAAATCATCAGAAGAAAAATTCGAACATATCGTTACTAATTCAGCCAAATTTTCAGGGCATTACCAACAGAGGCGAATATTTCCTTGCAGCCTCAAGTCACTTCCAGACCTTTAGCATTATTCTTGCCTAAGTATTCCAAAAACAAAAAAACAAAAAAAAAACAATCGTAACTCACCTTGGACAGTGTCGGATTCTCTCGCTGATAAGCTCCATCAGGCGAAGAGTTCTCCAACGTGTAGTAAACGTCATCTCCATGCAGCTGCAAATCTGAAACCGAGAAAAGAAGTAAAAATTCATCGAAAAATACCATGAATCAGAACTCCCACGAACATCGAAACAATTCTCACAATTAGGATTGAGCTTGGAGACGGCGGCTGCGGCGGAGGAGGAGGAGCTAGTGTTGGGTTGGGAGCGGAGGAGGAAGGGGACGGTGGCTTTGTCGAAGAGAAGGGCGCGAACGCGGAGCAGGAGGAGGATCTGAACCCTAGACTTGGAGTCGTCGACGCGCATGAGGGAGTCCCAAGAAGAAGGAGAAGAGAGGTAATGGTGGAAAGAGGAGTAGAGAGAATCGCCGAGCCATGTCCGCCAGACGCCGGCGGCCTCCAGCCTCCTCGCCAGATCGAAGCCTCGGCCATCGTCGCCGAGAAGCGCCATGGCCGCTTTCCTCTGCTTGATATTTTTTTTCTGGGTCGGGCTTTTTCCGTCGTCGATCACTTTAGTTTTCAGTTTACTTGTCTGGTTATGAAGTGGGCTTAGTTCTAATGGGCTTGGTTCCTTAAATGGGCCTTACATCATAGATAATGGGCTCGATATGAATATGTTGACCTTTTAACTAATTATATAATATTATAATCTTTACAGTTGGATGACTAACTAACCCTAGAAGAATCGTATACCAATATTTTGTACCACTACAAATCATTTTTTAGGTCTTTATATATATATATGGACAGTTCTGTTAAGACAAATTAGATGGTATATAATTTTAAATAAATTGAATTCGATATTACTTTTTTTAAGATTAAATCAACGGAAAAAATGAAAACTTTATTTAGAAAATCATTACGAAATTGGATTTAATATAAAATGGAATAAATATTTTATTTTAAATAAAAAAAATAGAGAGATGAAAAAAAAATGAAAAACCTAAATGGCCTGTGGTGTGCGTCCGTGAGGAGTTAGTTAGGCATTATATAAAAAATATAATTACTTTGTTATTCTTATTTCAACACATATGGAGAATGTCATTCTTCAGTGATCATGTGATCCATGTGACCCAAAATATAGTATGACTAAATGTTGATTTTATTGATTATAACGTTAAATTTATAGTGATCTCAATAATTCATTATGTTCATATCTTGTATATCTTACTAATTATTTGATTAAAACATCATAAATTAACGTTATGAGCAATGATATCAACATGTGACCATACTGTATTTTGGATCACATTGATCATATGGTCACATCTGAAGAAATGTATGTGTTGAAATATGAATAGCAAAGTAATGATATTTTTGATATTGCCCCATTAGTTATGACAGCCGTATCTCTCCCTTCGGACGGCGCAGATTGTGTTTGACCATCTTTCTCTTCATCTTCTTCCATAATTAAACATCTTTATTTCTGTGTATGTATTTTAAATTCGAGTGATGCGAATGAGAGAATGTATATCTTGTTTTTTTAGTTGTTGTGAAAAGGTTTATAACAATTTTTTTTTTAAAAATGAACATATTGGATGCAATGGTTTGCATAAATTTAGGGAGAGTCTCCCATCCCATGGCCATGGTGCTTCTTCTAAGAATGACCATTTTCTAAAGATGTGCTGTCTCTGAGCCAGGGGCAAAGAAACTCAAATCTCTCTCTGGATTCTTTCTGGCTCTGCATTTCGAAATCCCTTCTCTCTTTTTGTTTTATTTTTCTGGGGAAAATCAAAGATTATCTTTTTGGGGAGAATCCCAGAAGAATAAAAACTAAGGTAAACCTAAAGTTCGAAGCTTTTGTTCCATTGGATTTCCACGAACAGGTACAGGACCCATTAATCAACAATTCCTTTGTTTTGTTTATATGCTCATCTTACAGAGAAGGAGGTGGACGACAAACAGTGCCGAGAAAAACCAGAGATAGGGATGAAGAGGAGTGGCTTAAGCCTCCATGATCCTTCGCCGAGATGCGTGCTTGAAATTCCAGTTCTGGGTTCAGATCCCGACAACATCAGCAGTTGCAGTTCGTCCTCTCCCCACAAATCATCTTCCTCGTCGTCGTCATCAACCCCAAGAGGCGTTTCCACTATCCATCATCACGGCCTTCAATGGAACAAAATGATAGAGAACATCAAGAAGAAATCCACGAGACGATTCTCAGTCATTCCCCTCCTCACAAGCTACGAGCTTTCCCGGAAAAACTTGTGGAAGAAGCAACCGAAGAACCCGCCGTCTGGGTACGACGCCAGCTGCGACCACTTCCTCGTGGCAAAACCCTCTTGGCGCAACTTCACCTACGATGAACTCGTCACCGCCACGGACGATTTCAACCCTGGTAAAATTACAAATATCAGAACAGAGCACAAAGAAACATACTTGGTTTGTGAAATTTCTGAATACTGCCCCTAATGGTGGATTGAATGAATGAAAACCTTGTTAGATAACATGATCGGGAAGGGAGGTAACGCAGAAGTGTACAAGGGGACGTTACCAGATGGCGAGATAGTGGCGATAAAGAAACTGATGGGCAATGCCAAGGCTGAAGAAGAGAGAGTCAGTGATTTCTTGTCAGAACTCGGCATCATTGCCCATGTCAACCATCCCAATGCCGCTCACCTTCGTGGCTTCAGCAGTGATCGCGGTTTACACTTTGTCCTCGAATACTCTCCACATGGCAGTCTCGCTTCTTTGCTCTTCGGTATATTTTGAAGTTTAATGCAAAACCCTCTCACCCTTTTTGGGTTTCCAGACAGCTTTAGTGTTTCTTTGTTTATATTGTAGAGGCCGAGAAGTGTCTGGGATGGAAGATAAGATATAAGGTGGCTCTTGGAATAGCTGACGGTCTGTGTTATCTTCACAATGGATGCCCGAGACGGATTATTCACCGTGACATTAAAGCCTCTAATATATTGGTCACCAAGGATTTTGAAGCTCAGATTTCGGACTTTGGACTTGCAAAGTGGCTACCGGAAAATTGGTCTCATCACGTTGTATTCCCCATCGAGGGCACATTCGGGTCTGACAGGACTCATCTGGCTGCTATAGTGTCCTGTTCCGAATTTTCTATGAGTTTTTCTTGATGCTTGTATCTAAAAAACTGGATTTTTCAGGTATCTGGCTCCGGAATACTTCATGCACGGAATTGTTGATGAGAAGACCGATGTATTTGCTTTCGGGGTGTTGCTTCTGGAGGTCATAACTGGTCGCCGAGCTGTTGATACAGCCAGCCGGCAAAGCCTCGTGATGTGGGTATGATCTGAATACTAACCGTAAACATTTTTCTTGATGATCATGGTCTCTGAAGGTCGTTATTCCAGTTTAAAAGTCTTGCTTTGGTCTGGTGTTCGGCAATACAGGCGAAACCTCTTCTGGAGAAGAACAGTGTGGCCGGAATTGTGGATCCTCGGCTTGGTGATAACTTCGACCCTACTGAGATGAAACTGGTGATGCTAACAGCCTCAATGTGCATACATCATATAGCCACAATGCGTCCACACATGACCCAGGTATCTCTCTATCAAATCTATATATTTATCCCACAGATCTTCCATGTCGTCTCCCTGAATGCCAAATCAAACAGAACCCAAATGCATATTCTTCTATTCAATCAAAGTTCTTTTCTTCTTCAGTTTTAGCAAGAATTACCGCTAACCTGCACGCATAAAAGCACGTGCATGCATGCAAACTTCAGTTCCATCCAGAGGAATTGTCACTAGGGTTTAGGTTCAGCTGCCACAGTCTCAGCAACATAATCTGCAATATGTGGCCAAGAACTTCAGTTCCAACAACCATATCCCTCAATCCGTCTTCTTGTCCATGCCAGAAGCACCGAAACTTTGTAATTCCAACGCTCCCTTCAATTACAGGGAGCATCTTTTCTTGGTTTGGTTCCAGAGGATCATTCCAAGAACTCTTGCTAACCACACAAAGAGCAGAAATACAAACACCAGTTCAATATGAAGGGACACTATTGGTTAGCTGCCATTGCTAACCGTGGTCTCTCTCTCTCTCTCTCTCTCTTAGTGTCATTCTATTGATACGATTCAGCATCAGATCACAATCTATGCAATCTCAGGCTGTTTTTGCTGCTAAAAAAGTTTGTAGAGTGACAAGTTGACATTGTCACATGTTATGGAGCAGGTGGTGCAGCTGTTACGTGGGGAAGATGGGTCAGTGGAAATGCAGAAATCAGGCGGGGGGAGAGCGGTCAGCCTCGATGGATGCTATCTTCAAGATTACACATGTGCCTCCTACCTCAACGAACTCTGCCGTCATCGTCAACTTGTGATGGAGTGACTGATCACTGTAGCTGCTACACAACAAATAAAAATCTGTCGAAACCCAGCAAAGCCAAGATTCGATGAAACCCAAAAACAAAAAGAAAACATGTTGTTTTCATCTCCTTTTTTGGATCTTCACTCGTCTTGGCGTTGAAGATATTTTCTTGCCTATGTCTGCTTCCTCGCTGTAAAAAGCTTTGATCTTTTTTTGTCTCATCCATTGTGGATATCTCTCCACAAAGAGAGTGCCAATGTTCAGCTACTCCTTCCCCTCTTCCATTTCCGTGTTCTACAAAACACGACACAGAATACAACAGAGGAAGCTTTCCATTGAAACCAAAGGCTAAGTACCTCTTCATAAGCGTTGTATTTTAAAATAAATACCAGCAGCCGATCGCACTCCCTCTCCTTGGCCAAGTCCGCGCTCGCCCAGGCCGAGGCCGCGATCTCTCTCTCCCCCGACGATGCGGCCGCTCACATCGTCCGATCCCTAGCGCTAGATCTGCTCGACCACCGAACCCCCGCGCTCAAGTCATTCGATTTGGCTCTGACCTAGCCGCGCGTGAAGTCACTCACGGACGGAGAGCGAGCGGAGGCGCTGGTGAAAAGGGCTGAGATTTAGCTCGCGGCGAATCGATTCAGCGATCGAGGATCTGGAGGGGGCGGAACTGTCGACCGCCGCAACCGGCAGCGGCGGAGCAGGAGACAGCACGGCGAGGATATTTCGTTCGTTGGGCGCGTGTTACGAGTCCAAGGGCTTGAAGGAGAAGGTCCATTGGGCTTACAATGAGGCCTTGAAAACCGAACCGAGTTTGGCCCCAGCTCGTGATGGCTTGAACCGGCCCGGTTCATAACGTCCGTGTCAGTTTGAAAACTTATGCTTTCCAATTGTAACCCCACACTTTCAGATTTTTTTGGATTTAGCTTGTTCTTATCAATCGAGTCAGCGAGGCCCACATGTAACCTATTTTTATTAACCACGATTGACAGTTATGCGAAGAAAAATGAGAATTCAATTTGCAAAGACAAGTGAAGAACTTTAAATTGAAAGAGAATTGCACCGATAGGATAAGCAGATACATACAAAAATTAAAACTCAAAACCGCCCCTAAACTTCCAGAAACTAGAACTTCCCACCCACCCAGATTAAAAGTTAATACAAAGGGCCCCAGAACTTTGAGTTTATGTCATTTTCCTCCCCCCTACTTGCACCTACGGTTAACGAGAAGAGACAAAAAAAAAAAAGATGTAGTAAGCTTTGTGGTCAGCTTATGAGTTAGCCGGAAGCAAGAAGAAAGGCCCCTTCCCTTGTGTCTCTCAGCAACGGTTAGCTCCCTGATCCAACTTGTACCCTTAAAAACTACCCGACATAAGTCTCTTACCGGAAAACAATTAAAAAAACGACAAACCCGAACTAACCACTTCACTTCACTTCACTTCATATGGGTACGAGGTGATGATGTAATTAGTAAGACTGGTTCGGCCACAAGAAGAACTCAGCGGGGTTCGGCGCCATTGGAGGAGCCTGAACTGTGGAGTTAGACCCGGACGAGTCGGAGATCGGCAAGTGTTGGAAGAGGCTCGGGTTATGGTAATGGTACAGAGCCGCAGCCTCAAAGGGGATTCCGCAAGGGATCTGAGTCTGGATCGGCGAGTTGGTGGCCAGGGCGAAGTTGATGTGGTCGGGCGATGGCTCGAACTGCTGCTGCTGCAGGTGGTGGTGGTGGCCCATGGTGGGTTTTGGCTCGGAAGATTCAAGTGAGAGCTTGAGGCGTTTGGCCACACCGCCGATTGGTAGAGAACTCTTCATGATGGCCTCTACGTCATACCGACTCATCTCGAAATTCGTAACGGCATTTACTCCTCTGAACTTTATGGCCGCAATGTCGTAAGCCTCGGCCGCCTCTTCCTCCGTCGCTGCAACAACGTATCCGAAATCATATGCATAACCTTTTTTTTCATCTTATACATAATCGTATTTTAACATTAACGACATTACAGCGGAGTATTTTACCAAATGTTCCGAGATAAAGATCCTTGTTACCCGCAACACGGCCAATCCTCGCCTGCCAACGCCCCTGCTGATGATGCCTGCGGGTAATTGCGGTACGGGGTTAATCATTAGTAATAACATTAAAACAGGGATCCGACAATATGACATTTGTAGAAAATGTACTATACCTCGTGACACCCCTGTATATCGAGGCACCCCTCGAGAATCCGCTACTCTTCCTGAAAATTACGAAACCCGAAACCGTTAATTTTCCGTATGTTACACGAGTATCAGCTATTAGGACGGGAACGAGCTCGGGCCCTTACCTCCTGAGGGATGCAATGAACTCTTGCTTCGTCAGGGGTTTCATTTCCTCCATTTCTTTTGTGTAATTCGAGATCTAACATCATAAGAGCAGATCAATACAAGAACAATCAAGATTCATAATCCCTTACAGAGAACAATAATATCGCAAGCAAGAGTTACCGGGAAATTGGTAGTTGCAGTCGGACCCCAGTACTTAAGAGCAGCTAGATCGTAGGCTCGAGCCGCCTTCTCTTCCTTGTCATATCCACCTGATCAATGTTCGAAACAATTAATCGCTCGCCGGCCACAAATATAATGCCGGTTAAGGTAGTAATACCGATTCAGATATTGTCGTTACCTAAATACACTGTCAGCCCCAGAACCACGTCCAAAGGTTACATGCCAAAACAAAAAGCAACATGAAAACAATCAGTCAGCCGCTATGCTAAAAGCACCAAGTGAAAGCGAGACCGGACAAAGAATCCACCATTGATGAAACAAGAACCCCGAAACAAAATCAAGATTCTCTTTTTCTTGAACTATATGGACAGATAAAGCAAAAGTTCAACGCATAATTATAAATAAAAAATGGTCAAACCTATTATAAGGGGAAGAAGAAAAAAAAGCAAAAGGCACTGGATATTCATTCAGACTGATGTGACCACTTATCAGCCTGACAAGAAAACCCTAGATGGGATCTCTCTGTCCTTTTTTCCTCCTATTCATTAAGCATGGTTTCCACACGTTTGTTTCAAGATTTAGTCAAAATATCAAAACTTGCATCTATGATTATAATGATATCAAAGAAACCCTAATGACAAAACCGCAAAAAGCATCACATGGCTATGCACATACATACATACATGACATGGCATGTCATATTGTATGGAAACTAGGTCATACAGGATTGGTGGGTCCAGATCATATGTCAATCACAACAGAGTTTGCATCATATGGGCATATTGCATGGGGACCCATATACGTGTGAAATGAGGGCTTGTGGAAGGAAAGAGATAAAAGACAAAGAACAAAATGGCGGCACCTTCGCATGAAAATATGAAAAATCAACCAATTTTTTTTTTAAAAAAATACTATTATTATGTACATACTCTTTTTCTGCCTGACTGAAAGTGAAAGCATTGACAAGTCCATTCCTTTTTTTTTTTTAATATTTCAATAATCAGACCCTCCACTTATGCCATTCCTCCTGAGTCCTATCATCCATCATAAGAGATAGACCAGTCGCCCAAAGAATACAACTTTTGAAGGTGTTGAAGTTACTCATGCAATTAGTTGTCACTAATGGATATCAAAGTTGACAAAAACAATATTTATATTTAACAGAAATTGCAAAATTTTATACAATGTTCATTTTAGATTACACAGTTACCATGAAACTATATATATATATAAATATACGAGTGAAGATTATCAAGAGCATGATGGTTAGTTACCTTGACGCCCTTTCCTGGCCTGACCCTCCCTTCTACAGCTATTATCCCATAGATGCGCTTCATATCTCCCCGTCCATCTGTGTCTGCATCAATCACAAAAGGACGGGCCTTTTTAAAAATCAAAACTTTGAATCTCCCTCTGTCTGAAAATCAAATCCATTTTCTAGCTATTGAATCGACGAAACTATCTAAATGTTATGTTTCTAGTTACCGAGTGACTCCTCGGAAAATCGAAGTCCGTTGCCCGAACGTGTCGGCGATCTTCTTCGAGCAGTCCGGCGTTTCCACAGCCACTACCGCCTTCTCGTTCACGGCAACAGTCTTACCATTGATGTCGTTACCACCACTATACGGATCAGCCCTTGCCTTGTTGTTTGCCTCACGTGAAAAAGCTCCGCCGCCGTGGAAACCTAGCTCCTGACCGGATGAATCCACCACGTGGCCGATAAACTCGCCGGCGCCCAGATGGGTCCGGCCGATGGAGGTGGAGTCATCGACCTCGGAGCCGGAGTTTGCGGAGAATGCTGTCTGAAACCCAGCTATGGCACGGTGGTCGGAGAAGAAACCGGCGGCGGCTGGGTGGCGATGGGTGTCGTAGATTTGGGTGAGGGACGAGTCTTGGGTTTCGGTTTGGCAGTCGGAGGAGTAACGGACGATGGAAGAGGAGTCGCCGAGAAAATCTTCGAGCTTGGGGATGGGATTATGGGCGTGGGTTTGTGGGTCGGCGAAGGTGGTGAGGATGGTTGAATCCGCCATGGAAGCTGTTATCTGCTCTTCTTCTTTGAATAATTCCCGGGGCTTCTGGTTCGTCCACCCTATCACCCAAAAAAAAATCACAAGATCGAAAGGAAAAAAACAGTCAGCAACTTCGAGCTGATCATCACATCAGTTCGCAAGACATGTTTGGTTACCGAGAAAATGAAACATGATGGCAAACAGCAAGCAAACGAATGATGAGTAGAGGAGAAAGACATCAAAACACATAACCAGCGATATTCAGATGTAACTTAGACTAGAAACGCCGGTTCGGTTCCCGATGAGATGAAATCGGGAAAATAAAAAGTGGATTCTACGGATAAACACCTCCCGGGAGTGGAAAAGATGAACGGAAACACATACCCAGAAGAGAAATTGAAGATTTAATCGAAACAAAATCAAGAACAACCCTTGGTTTTCCCCCCTTTGAGTTGTGTTTTCTCTCTCTCCTTTGTCGAGAAACAGACAAGGCGAGGAGAAAATAAGGGGGGTGATTAGTTCAGCACTCGGTTGGGGATAAGCTGCAAAAGTCGGTTACCAGCATATATACATACACCTCTACTTACACACATACACACGTATAGGAGCAACTAGCCTTAGTCTCCGAACAACGTACTAAACGGATTCGCACAGCACGAATCATATTTTCTTTCCACCAGGAAAATCTTCATCTAGTTTCCCGGCAACCAAACAGAAAAGGATCTCTCAGAACACGAGAAAGACTAGGAATTTTTACCATAGAAGTTATCGATGAGATAGTGAGGAGAGGCGGCGGAAGAGGCGTCATAGGACACGAACTGAGACTGATCAGATGACCTCAGCATCTCCATTGGTGACAGCGAAAACTTTAACCAGTTCGTCGTCGGAGCCATTTTCCCCCTTATCTTTTGCCTCTAAAAAAAAGATTTTTAATTGTTTCTCTTTCTTCTTCTGTAATTCCTGTGAGATTTTAAAAGGGATGAAACATGAGAGAGAGAGAGAGGGAGGGACAGAGAGAGAGGACAATAAACGACTAAAAATCTCTACTTTTTTTTTTGGGTTAACTTGGGATGTTTCTTTTTCTTATATGGTTGTGTTGCAGAAACAGACGAGAAAATTGATGAAAACCCAGAAAAAAGCCCGAGACTTTTTTCTGTGTTGGTGGATGTCTTTGAAACCTGATGAAGCGTTACACTATCTTCAGAACTTGTCCATTTCGGCCGATATTGCACCTCATACTCAACGTTAATCACGATGTCTTAGAAGACCCTCTGCATGTCTTCGCAATACGCTACACAGAGAGAGAGAGAGAGAGAGAGAGAGAGAGAGTTCTATATTGCTTTGTTAAGATCAAAAGAGCGATGCATGAGAATCCATTTGCGAGATATTTGTTTCGACAAAGGAAGAAGAAGAAGATCTTCAAGAACTGTCCGAGACCGGTCCTTATAAAGACATTAGAAAAAAAAAAACCCAGTTGCAGTAGAGAGAGAAAGTATTCGAAAAAAGGTATGAGCGGTTTCTTCTATGTCGACCGGCGTAAAACCGGAGGGGAGTTTCGAGCAAGAGACAGGGGTTTTAACTTTTACTTTATTTTATTTTTTTAAAAAAAAACTCTCCTTTTTATGCCTAATGCAATAAATAAAACCACTATGATACAACAAAATGTGCATGCATAATCCTCGACTTACCTATGATTAAGATACATAACTAGATTAATTGCATTTACTTTGACTATAAGGTGAAAATGATACATGGAGACTTATTTATATTTCCAATAATGAATAGAAAGATAACGAAACAACTTCATATTGTATACAGAAATATGGTTTACAATCTATATTGATAATTGCATGTATATATATATTTTATGTGGACCGTCTACAGTAAACACATAAACAAATCACTGAATTGGAATATGTCAGTCGGTATGTATAAACGTGTAACAACGAATACAACCCAATACACATTTCTCACTAACTTTGATGTGAGAAATACACACAAACGCTTGGACATTTATGTGTGTCAATGTGTTGCATCATCATCATCATCATCATCATCATCATCATTGATGGAGGGGATGTGACTTTTTAGCACTTCGTCTACAACAAAGGCGGCAAAAGATCCGGGAGACGAAATATGAGGAAACCCTGAAATCTATCGTCGAGGCTCTTTTGTGTTTGGCCAGCGTTTAAATTACGAAACTACCCCTCCACCCCCACCATTGGTCCGTTTCGATTTCATGCTCCACTTGTCCTCCATGCAAACCTCTCTCCACATTTCCCTTTCAACTCTCCAGGTCGGGCCGGGTCGGGTTCCTCCCTAGGCCCACTTTGGTATTCCTTAATTACTCATATTTACCGTGCTCATTCTTACCAATTTACAATTACATGATTTCACGGTGTATAATAGTAACATATATTATCGACCGTGAATCCGAGATCCGTATAATATATTATGCGACTTTAAAGGAAAATAGAATACTTTTGTAGATAATTTAGATTTGAGGATAAAGACAAGGTGAGGGTGAACGGTGAAAAAACAAGAAGAAGTGGTTAAGAGGGTAATTGTAATAATAGGTCTATAGGATGCAAAGTGAAAATTAAAAATAAATAAAAAATATATAATAGCTCCAACTTTTGGGTCAAAAGGCACGGTCAATGGCCCAGTAAATATTGAGCCCGGTTAAACTAACCTTTTTCTTTACTTTCGTTTTGTTTCCTTTTTCTATTTTTCTTTCGCAATAAAAAATTTCTCATAATTTTTCTAAAAAGTGAAAATAGTGTTCAAATGGAAAAAAATTTAGAGGGAGATATTTTTTTAAAATAAAATATTAATTTTCCACCAGAATAAAACAAACAATATATTCAAGGGGGGAAAGGCTCGTGGGGAACAAACCGCCATATCATAAGGCGGGTTCCCTCTGTAAAAACAGAAGCCGATAAAAAATAAATTCGACTAATAAATAAAAAATTTATAAAAAGAGGCCCCAGCAATTAAGGCACGTGATTAGGGCATGATGTCGTATTATTTTAGAGCATTCGTATCCTACTTCCACTTTTTTGGACCGGCAACGATTGTATAATATAATATATCTCTCTGTATATAAATATATAAACCATTCGATAGCTATGTATGGGTGTCAATTTACCCGGTTTGCGGAAATTATTATAATTATTATTATTATTAATTACGCCCTCTGTTTGTACCCAACTTAATCTGATACGCATATTTATATTCTCATATACGCATTTTGAATTCAAATAAATTGTTTAAAAAGCAGGGCTATACCATAATCAAATACATATATATATATATATATAACGTATTCATGGTATGCATATTCTTATCGTGGATTTTTGACGAAGAAATAAATAAATTTCAACTGAAAATAATATGTATTTTCAAAATTGGGATATGACCATATGATCCTCATGGGACGTGGCCGTTTGTTAGGGTTCTACGGTGACGTAGCATTGTTATTTTTGCGGAAGGGTATTGGTGATACGTTCGGTTACGACTTCATTTATGTGCATGCGTACGTACGTATATATACGTTGTGTATTTAATTCTTTGCTTATAGTTTTGTCCTTATAAACTTACTCAAAGCTATCTGCGATATTTTTATTTAGAAAAAAAATCCAGATATTTTTTATTGGGGGATTGCTTCCAAATCTTTTAATTGCATGTGCCATCACACGTGGGAATGGTTACACCTTCCCTCCATATCGAATGTTATAGTCATCCACATACATTATATATACATATAACTCTAAAAATATACAATATTGTCATTCAACTCCGAATAATATATTTTATGGGAACGCGTATACAATATTGTAATTGAAAAAAAATATATTGTAATTGAATTCCACTCCACTAACAACTACTCTTGTCAATATCGGGAACCATTCATTACCCGTACATATATATATATATATATATATATATATATCATTGCACTAGTACAATACAAAATTATAGAACTCAAATAGTTTTTGAATTGATTACTATATATATATATCGTTTTATCCAATAAATGACTCATATACGCAAACGATATAGAAAGATAACGATTTTGTGGCCGAAAAACTAATAATCGGAATATGAGCAAAAAAAACTAGATTATTTGTTGACGTAATAATTTTTTTGAAAATTATTCACATAAAAATTTGAAAGTAATATTGTTTATATACATAATCCAACAAACAAAAATACTGATGGTCAGTCTTCGCGACTGCTAGTAGTAAACTCGTTTTTCTAATTATTGCAATGATATGCCACGTCGCCGCACGTGGCTAAATCTAGCAATTTCAGAAAATAAAACACATGATTCCGTTAATGTCTCCCACTTCGTAACAATATGATTATATACACCCCCCAAAAAAAAAACGTGACACATACAACAGTTCGTAAATTTCAAATTAATTGGACCAGACATATATATATGTATATATATCGATTCGTTAGATACAAAGGGAAAAAAGTGAAAGTAATGATAATAATATTAACAGACCTTAAGGAGTATGTTAGCACCGGAGACTTTCCTAATCATCGTCGTCCTTAATCTAGGCTTATTCCCCGTATTTTTTTTTATTTTATGCGATAATCATTATTCGATTTATAAAAAATAATAATGCAATCTATGTTGTTTTTTTAAAATGGGATGTGTACTAAATAGTTTTAAATAGTGAATTTTGGGAGGTCCAATGACTAGTATTAAGCGTAACCAGTTTCTTTTGACCTTTGACCGAGGAGGCACGTGCGCGTCATCTCTTGCTTGACGATATCTTTGGTCGAAGATTTCGGCGACGCACGTGCGCCTCTGTCCTTTCTATTATCTTAATCCCCCAGCTAATCTCCTTAATTAACCCTCTCTTTTTATTTCTTTTTTTTTTACTCTCTTTATTTTTTTTTGCTTTTAACCCTTTGCACTCTAAAATACTTTGGTAAGTTCTTATCGGTAAAACTATAGGGGCCAAAGGTAAAAGTGAACAGAATATTTGACATTTTGAAACGCGGAATTTAAATGTGAACGTATTTCACGTGGTGTTGGTTTTATTATTGGATTCGGCATTTTTTCATATTGGTGTGTTATACTATATCATTCTATCATTGATAATTGGTCGTTAGAATAGGATTAACCATATTGATATTTTTTAATATTAAATTCTAACAAAAATATAAACATAAAAACAAATATTCAATAAGTTTAAAAATAATGATAGTTTTCTATTAAATAAAGAAAGTATGGTTGATTTTTGGATATCTATTATTGATAAATTTTTTTCTCTAAAAGATATAATTTAAAAGAACGTGATTATTTTTAGATTCATATAGAAAATCAATATATATATATATATATATATATATATAGTTATATCATGGATTTTAGCCCACACATCTTATTAGGTCTCTGACTAATTTGAACAGATAACTAAATAGTAAAATCATTTCCATAGTAAAAATCCCCAAGTTAAAATGATTTCACCGATGAGATTCATATAATAATAAGAGAATCAATTCGATCCAAATCATAAAACCATAATTTCAAGATGATTCAAACACGAAATTATTACATAACCCTTATCAATCCCTAACCTACAATGCAGAAAACTACTCACACATGATAGAAATAAAAACAATAACAATCAATATATATATATAAAAAATATATATATATATATATATATATATATATATATATATATATATATATCGATAAATCTAATTTGTATGAAGATAAATTTTAAAAATACTAGATTTTCTTAGAATAATAATTAAATTTCTAATCATGTGTGTGAGATTGTAATCATATTTTATATTAGATAATCCAAGATTGGGTGAATCAACCGATAAGAAAGGGAGCAAATCTCTTTTCCAATTCAGGTCGAATCCTCACTTAGTGAGAGACATTCACGCGGATTTTTCCGGTCTTCTGGAAGATGTAGTCGGTCCAAAGTTCCGATGAACTTTCATATTATAAAAAAACATCAAAAATACTATAACTTACCCATCGGATTAGCAAGAACGCGTGCACACCTCAAAAATACATTTGATTTATGTAAAAAAAAAAACAAAATACATAAACTATGTGAACATGAAATTGAATTAAGGAACAATAAAATAGTCATGGTAGGTGACAAAGCCTACAAGTATTTATACACTCTCTCTTCGTTTTACAGCAAAGATCGCAGGAGGAGAGGATATGATCTTAATTTCATTAGTCAAACAAAACAGCCGTGTAAGTATGAATAACGCCAATCTGCAAGCTGTACCTATCTCATGCCAATTACATCTTAAAGTATATATTAACTGTAAAAATATTCAAAATGAAAACATTTCATATATATATATATATATATGTGTGTGTGTGAATAGATTTTGGAAAAAGGATTGCATAGATATCTTTATATGTGCAACAATCATTTCTAAAACCAAAGGTGTCGAGAATCGAAAATATTGTAAGAGATGCTATTAGATATATTTACAAATATATAAAATATATTAGTTAAAAATAATGGATTGTACGTATTACATATATACGTGACCAAATATGGGAAAATATTATTGAATGCAAGGAATTTTGCAACATGAATGCGCCTATATTGAGTAAATTTACCAGAGAATTAGAAGATACAAAATGGTTTATTTGTCTAGATGCAGATGCAGATGTATTCCTTCCTTTGATCTCAAGCTATATATTAATATTGACAACCTTGCCCTAATATCTTATGGTCTTTAATGTCATTTTTGTATTTTTTTTATGTGAACGTCAACATGTTTAACCACGCATATCGCAATGAAACGGTCCAATTTATAAGGCAGCAAAAAATGATTACCAACAATCTAGCATTAACATATGCCTTTATCATTCTTAATTATGGGCCTTACTATGTAAAAAAAAAGGCCTGACAATATTCAAAAATAGTAAAACCAATATTTGAAATGGGCCTTTATAAAGCCCAAAACAAAATTATCAATTATATATATATTAAGCTCAGCCATCAAGGCGTTGTTCATACATTTTGTCTAAATGCAAACTAATTATACGAGAAGATAAATAGGATAGAAAAAGAAAACCCTAATTACAAAATTAAATGCAAAAATAATTGTAATAGCAGTTAGAAAGTCAATATAATTGTACATCAGATTTTCAAAATTGTTTTTTATTTTTATTTTCAGGAAAAGGGTCCCATGTGGACGCTCGTTTAATGATTCTAAATTGTCAAAATAAATGATTGAGACCTGCGTGTTGGTCCATTACCTCTTCCATTAATAATGTATTGGCAATATTGCTAATTCACATTATTTTAATAATTATACCGTCAGTACAATTGTATTGAGACATACTGGAACAATTCAAAAGTCAGATCATATCCAATACTAGAATAATATATATATATATATATATATATATATATATGTGTGTGTGTGTGTGTGTGGATTTTTTTTTTTGAATGTTTCCCTTAGTATATGTAACCTTATTTGCAACGCATTATAAACATTGAGATTTTATCTGTCTACCATTTAAAGCAATAAGAGTCATAGAAAATTAATAAAGTCCATAAAGTTATATTTAATTTTTTTTTTATTTTCTCCCAAATGTTTAATTAAATGATTAATCTTTATTTACAAAATTACTGATATATAAACTGTAAATCGAAGAGGAAAGCAAAAAAAAAAAATGAACTTTTTAATAAAAAAAAAATAAAATAAAAGCAAAAAGAAAAGGTAACATAAATATAAACAAGGAAGTTTGACGAAAACAAACGGGAGCTGGGGGCATTGGAGTGTCGCCTGCGACACGTCTAACACGTCGTTAGATTTGTCTCTACTAAACAATTTGATATTTGTCTTTTTCTGACACTGACATCTCCTTAGATTTTATAACAATAGCATAAAATCATATATATAAATTTATTAACATTGCTACTACATAAACCGAGAGGCTGATTTGTAAATATAAAGCGTGATCTGATTTGTCTGAAAATAATATTTGATTTGACAATACACTTTAATGTCACTTGGAGGGTTTTGGCGGTCAATCAAGGCAAAACAAGAAAAAGTCAATGGTCGTCTTCATTAATATCAAAGCGATTAGGTATTTCAAGAACCCACGTATCCAACCAATTTGTTGTCTTGAAGGCAATTAACCACACCCACCAAAAAAAAAAAAAAAAAAAAAAAACCAGGAGGAGGAGGAGAAAGATGGAAGAGAATCACGAAGAAGGAGAAGTGGAGAAAGTGTATGTAGCAGTGGGAAACAATGTGGAAGATGGGTACAAGACCATTGATTGGGCCCTCAAGAAGTGGAACTCAATCCCAATCTCCATGGTCATCCTCCATATCTGCAATATCTCCAATGATTTTGTTTACACTCCTTGTAAGTTTTCCGTTCCAATTTCCCATGTATATATATATATATATATATATATATATATATATATATATATATGGTTTGATGCACATATATGAACGTGAATGTCTGTTTCTGCATTTTTTGTATCATATGTATTGGTTAAAGAATTAGTAAACTTTTAAAAAAAAAAATCATGGGCCTGTGCTTTTACTCGAGTTTGTCCTTTTACAGTTCCATAATTAAGAGAACGAGTGATAATTTTTCCAATATGATACCGGTATGGTCAGAAAAAAATCATTAAACCGGTCGGTTATCTGGTGATCGTGTTCTTGGTCTGTGGTTAAATGTTAACCAGTCGGGAAGCTTCCGGCAATCTCAGTCAGCGAGGAGAAGCTTCAAGTTCTCAGAAAGTACGAGGAAGAAAAGATCGACAAGTTACTTTCCAAATACATTGCTTTCTGCGGCAAGGTACTCTCTTTTATTCTTCCGGGGTGATAAAGAATATATATCGTTTTTTCCGGGTCAAAAATATAATTTATGAAATTATGCCACAGGTGAAGGCAGAGATATTCAAGGTTGAAAAACAAGATGATCCAATCCAAGTGCTCATAGTAGATTTGATCTCCAAGCTTAACATCACCAAACTCGTCATGGGAATCACCTTCATGAGATCATCATCTTGGTATATTATTATATTATACTCCTACCCCTTAACTTTTGACTGTTTAACAAATTGACCCCGCTGGTTATGAATCTTTCAATTCCGCCCCTGGCATGGCGTTTCAGGAAATCGAAGAGTGCGATAAGTGGATCATTCTACGTTTATCAAAACAAGCCCGAATTTTGCGAATTTTACATAATATGCGGAGGGAAAATGGTGGCACTGAAGAGAGAGAACGACGGCAACAACAACAACATCAGAAACTGGATTGGTAAGATGTTCCATGATCCGACAAGAAATCTGGACCGTTCATCCTCCATCAGCGAAGATCCATGGGATAAGAATGCCAGAGAAACAGAAAATTACCTGCAGCTTTTATTAAGTTTAAATTTAGATGAAGAAACAGATAACAATGGCGTTGATGAAGGGGAATATGATGATGATGATGATGATGTGGAGCTCGGTGTGCTTCAACACATGGTAAGAGTTTTAGTTTATATAATTATTTATTATATAATCACCATAATTATAATTTTTAAAGATACTAATGCCGGCGCTAAGACTTCTTCATAGCTTTGTCCAGTCCATGCAATGTGGTATGTTCATGTCATTATTATATTTCTCTAATTCACATTTCTGTATTCAGATAATAATGAAGGTGAGCCCATCACACAACACAAATCACAGTAATAGCTTAGTTATTTAACGTGGTTTATAATATTACATGTAGTTTTTTTTTAAAATTAAATATTTTTGGACCGGAAATCTTAATACAATAGTGTCGGAAAATGTTAAGGACTTGGCAGAAAAGATGGAGTATATGAAGAGAAAAACAGAAGAGGCAAGAGAGATGATGGAGAAGAACAAGAGAGAGGCCAAATCCAATGCTGAAAGATACGCCAAAGCTGAATGGGCAGTCTCTCTATGCAGCAACAGAGTATTGAAATCTTGAAAGCATGCACACAAAATCGAATTTTACAGCAAAATGACATCTTTAAATGAAACCCATCATTTTTCATGTTCAACAGATAGAAAAACTCGAAGCCCGGATCAATGAAGAAGGCAGACGACGAGTCAAGATTCAAGAAACCTTAGACATGGAAAGCGAGCAGCTTGATGAAGTCGCCAGAGATGTGGAAGAGGGCAAGGCAAAGCTGAGTTCACTCTCTGAGCTTCAGAGAGAGCTCTCGAGCAAGCTCCGGTCCCTAACAATGGCTAAATCACAGGCAGAGGCTCAGCTGGAGAAGGTTGTGTCAGAGAGAGGCAAAATGATCGAAGACATCGAGAAACTTAGGCATCAGAGAGATATTTTCAATCGCAGGATCGAGTTCTGTAAGGAGAAAGATGCAATAGGGTTGGTCTCGAGGTTGAATGCTGGTGAAGATGCAAGGTGCAGATACACGGAATATGCATCGGAGGATATCAGGTTGGCCACTGACGATTTTTCTGATCGGAGGAGGCTAAAATCTGGTGGCAACTGGACAAAAGTTTACCGGGGAAGGATCAAAAGTACAACTTTGGCAGTCAAAGTGATCGGAGATTGTCTGTCTGATCAGGACTTCCGAGCTAAGGTAAAGAAGAAAAACAGTTCTTTCTTTTTTGTTGTGTTTCACTTGAGGATGGAGGCAAAGAGATGCATGTTTTTTTTATGGATTGTCACAGGTGGAACTGTTGAGTGAGATCAGACATCCTCATCTGGTAGCCATTGCTGGGTTCTGCTCCGAGCCTAAATGCATACTTTTCGAGTATATGCATAACGGGAACTTGAGGGACAGTCTATTCACATCGCAGAGAAAATCAGGACGAAGCCGGATACTTAAGTGGCATGAAAGAGTTCGGATAGCTTACCAGGTTTGCTCTGGTTTAGGGTTTCTCCACTCCGCAAAGCCCAGACCTATCGCCCATGGCCATCTGACTCCCTCAAAAATCCTCTTGGACCGCAACCTCGTGCCGAAAATCAGCGGGTTTGGACTTACCCTACACAGTGATCAATCCGATACAAAACCTGATATCAGGGCTTTTGGGGTTTTGCTTCTGCATCTCTTGACAGGGAGGAACTGGCCTGGTTTGCTCAAAGCCATGACGATGAACCAGACAGCTGTTCTGAGAGATCTGGACGAAATGGCGGGTAAGTGGCCATTAGAGTTGGCAAAGGAGCTTGCTACTTTGGCGACGACGTGTTTGTCCATTAACCGGGGAGCGTACATGGATCTGGGAATTGGAGTGATAATGGAGGAGTTGGGAAAGATAAGGCAGAAGGCAGACGAGTTTAGGACCAGAGGTGGATATGACGAAGCAACCAACGGAAACATCCCCGAGGAAGAACATACTGATGTACCATGTGTTTTCCTCTGCCCTATATTTCAGGCAAGCCCACAAATTCTCCTCTCAGAATTGGATTTCACTTGAAAAAGAAACACTGGTCTTACTCATAAATCATTCTTTTCAGGAGGTAATGAAGAACCCGCATGTAGCCGCAGATGGGTTTTCGTATGAGCAAGAAGCAATAGAGGAGTGGCTGAAGATGGGACACGACACTTCGCCCATGACAAATCTGAGACTGGACCATCAGTTCCTGACCCCAAACCACACACTTCGGTCTCTCATCCAAGACTGGCATAGCAAACAAGCAGCAGCACGAGCATCCTCCTAGATCTTTCACATTAGCACAGTATCAATCTTTGACAAGCTGATTTCCCGTTTACAGATAATAGAATGTAAGGTGTTCTGATTCAGTATCTGACAAAGTTTCGATCTTTCCCCCAGGAAGAAGAGATAGGGCATCAGTAGAAGATAACACACCAATCACCACAACATAAACCTCCCCTTCTTTCGAAAGAGGAATTACACGCCCTGAAAAGATACCCAGTTTGTGTAGTCGCCCCACTCAAAATAGTCAGAGCACTCATGAAATCCTCCGTTGGAATCTTGTTCATGTGTTCACTGATCACCAAATAACAAACATTATAATGAAGATACGAACACGGAAATAAGAAATTCAGGTTGGTTAAACAAAATGCTATATACCCTTTTCATGAAGAGCCGATCAAATGTACATAACTACAGCACTTCTTTAAGGAAAAGTTCAAAGCTTTCATTTCACTAAATGCTCGAAAAACGAATTGTACCCTATGGAGAAACATAACTTTTCAGTATCCCCTTGACAATGACGCAGAGATTCACAAACCAAATAACTGTGAAAAACAACAAACGGCGGCAGCCGACAGGCAACATGAACAGACCCAGCAACAGGAAATTACATCCTATTTTGCCGTAATCGACGAGAAAAGGCGAGCGACGCGCTCTTGCTGTTCCAGGAACCGACGCTTCAAGTAACTCTCGAGGATCTCCATGACGGAGACAAATTGCTTCATCTCCTCCAGCCGACGGCTGAGCTCCGCCTCCCTCCTCCTCGCTCGCCGCAGACGAGCCTCCATCTCCGCAATCCGGTCCCGTGGATCCTCCACCACCGTATCCTCCTCGACCTCCGGCGATCGGCGCCGCCTCCGCGACAATGGTTGTTGGTGACCGTAACACATCGCAAACAAGAAAACGAAATCAATTGCAAGAGAAGGGGCAGAGATTATCCTTAAAAGGGGAAAAATAACGGAGGCCCCAGAAGGGCATTCCCGGTAATTTACATGGGCTGGTTCAATAATTGGTGCAAGCCTCTGAGTCGATAAGAGGGTCCGTGTGAAACTTTCTCGGGCCGACCGCTGTGAAGAGCCGGATTGCCGATTATGTGGAGAAAGATGCATCGCGTTAGGGTTAGGGTTCCGGCGTCGGAGGTGCTCAGGCATGGTCCCTGCTTGATTTCGCTCGCTGTTGGAAGGCTTCTTCGATCGTCACGCGGATTCCATGAAGATGGAGAGGTTCCTTAGCAGCTAGAGCTAGTGCTTGTGCTCGTGAAGATGGCGCGTGCAGTAGAGGTTTCAGGCACCCAATTGTTATCCGATGCACTGCAACAAAAATGGAAGAAGAAGATCGAGGATTTGCTCATAAACAATAGTGAATTTGAGACTATGAGATTTGGATTGCTCCCATGAGACTTGGATTGCTCCCACTTGATGGTATTTCTACAATGAATACGCGCCATGCAGGGATCGTCAAAAGTTTCAGATGAGATGGATGGTGACCTCACGCCTGTTGACGTCGACCTCAACCTTGTGAAAGAACCTCCTTGAATCCTTCTCATGCGTAGACAGCTTCCAAAGGATGCTAAGGACAGGGTGGGTGAGTTAAAATTAGTTTCTTGCAGTGTTTTGGCTGGAAAACAAATTTCTATATATGTAATATGCACATTTTACTGATAGAGAAGTGAGCTATATAGCTTTTGCATCCCTAATCCATGCTTGCTTCAATTTTCATTGATTAGACTGGGTGGATAAACTGCATTATGATATTTTGTCTCAAGAAGCAGTAAATCTGAAAAGTATACAAATGTTAGAATCCCTTGGAAAAAATGAAAAGACAATACTGAAAAGAGAGTTAAGTTTTGGCTTTAGATTCATATATGATGGTGATACATGGGAAGAAGTAGAAGTTACTATGAGTCAGGCTTGCTTTTCTTATACTGCGAAGGTTGCATACAAGAGAAGAAAGACAATCTTTGCTTCTTCGGTTTTGTATCGAAGATGAATGACCTCAGAGGAATATGAGTTCTGCTATTTGAGAGTTTGAAGTTGGCACGATCCTTCGTCTCGGAAAGTGCAAACTCTTCGTTCAGTTTCTCCAGAGTCTTGTCAACTTCCAGCCGCAGCGTGGTAATGTGATTTAAACCTGTTTGTAGTTCGTCTGCTATCCTTATGTTTTCGTTCTTCATGTTTGAAATCTCACCGAGAAATTCTGCTGCTTGGTAGATTGTAAACCTCATCTCGCCCTCATCAGAATCTGTTCTAAGGGCTTCTGTTATCTCATCTTGCATGTTGCTCAGGGATGAAGATCTGGAGTTAATCTCATTCTTTAGCAGCCAGTTTTTCTCCAACCAGACAGACAGTTCGGTGTGGATCTCTTTGAGGTGTCTGTATATTGGGCGGACATTTGATCTGAGAGTACCTCCATCTTGCTTGTTTTGTTCCGTGATGTTCGATATCTCAGCCTGTAAGTCCTTAATTCTGGTATCAAGCTGCTGTATTTGACCAATAGAATTGCTAAACCTTACCAAAAGATCCAGATTCTTGCCAAGCAGTGAATCGATACATGTTCTGAATTGCTGTTCGTTTTGTGACATGGGTTGGGTCCCATTCTCAGTATTATCTTCTCTGCCGATCAGCATGAATAATAAATCCTGCTGATTATCCGTGGCTTTAATGTCTTGCAGATCATCACTCTCACCTTTGGCTTTTGCCAAGAGGCTGAGTTTCCGGCGTAAGAATTTGATCTCCTCGTTTTTCATGGTGTTGTCATTGTTCAGCTTTGTTTCCGTTTCACCCAATTTCCTCTTGGCTTCCTTATAGTTGCGAAGTACTTTGGTGTACTCTGTTAGCAGAAGCTTTTCTCTATCCTCCATACCATGTGATAGCAGCTGCTGCAAGAACGGCTCCTCTTCTGTCTCTGACGATTGTTTTGTTGTTTCAATGTCTGACCCATTATCCGATTTTGGAGATAACATATGCTTGTCCGAAACAATCTGTTCATCCACTGGTTGCATTGGAGCTTGCTTCTGTTCGGAACTCTCTGGGGCTCCACCCGTTTGGTTAGCTTCTCGTGCATTGTCTTTTTTGGCAGCAAGAAGTGCTGCAGCTTCGGCAGTATCTTGATGTTTGAATCTGACTTCCAGGTTAGGTTCCTTTTTCTGCTCCAAGTCTGCAATGTTTGGTTTCTCGCTTGCATTCTCAGTGAGTGAGATCTTGGACCTGTCATCTGTATAATCTGCACTTTTTCCTTCTCGGTGATCCTGTCCAATCAAAGATCCTTCTTCTAGAATTGGCACATTAGCAGGATTCTCTTCCTCCCCTGCTGATTTCAAGCTTCTTAATCTCTCCGAAAGGCAACCGAGTTTAGTGTGCGCTTCTGTTAGGTGTGTTTCAAGGTTCTTGCTCTGTTCTTCAACCATCTGGTCTAGATCCTGAATGCCCTTCAGCTTCTCCTCCACCTCTCTCAGTTTGTTTCTCATGACAGTAGTATTGTCATCGGCATTAGATGGTTTGTTTTCTTGCAGTGCTCTAATCTGTACCTGGAGATCGTCGATTTCTCCTCTTAGCCTCTGTACCAATGCCGTTTGAGATGAAACCAACTGTTCCAAGCTGATCACATGGTTCACAAGCTCATCAATCTTCTCTGCCATGTCCGGTACATTAAGACATTTCTTAGTCTCGACTTCATAGTCCTTCATCTTCTCTGCATCGGTATCTGCTTCTTGTTCTTTGACCGATTTTCCCTGCTCTAACGAATCGTGTTTCAGGGCTTGGTATCCTGGGTCGGTTGCAGCAAGAGAGGCAAACTCCTCTTTCGACTCTCGGATCCGTTTTCGTTCGTTGTTTGCTTCCTTGACAATCTTGGACTGCTGCTCTTTAAGCTCCGCCAGTTTCTCTTGGCAGGACTTGAGAGCAGTGGTGGACATCAATGCCTGAGCTTCTGCATCTTCGATGAAAACGCCTTGGTTGAACTCGTCTTGCAAACCGCAGATCCTCTCTTGTTTCTCCATGATAGAATTCTCAAGATCCCAGTACTTTGCCAATCCGCTCTCGTATGATCCCTTGATAAACTCCTTTTCTGTCTGAAGAGCCAAAATCTCCTTCTGCAACTTATCGATCTCTTCCACCGCCTCAGCTTTGGTCAATCCAGACTTGTTAACAACTGCGGAAACGGAGCCTTTGAAAGAATTCCTCGACTGGAATCTCTTCGAGGCAGTGGAATATTTCTTGGGGAATTCAGGAACCTTGGGAACGACAACACCATGGTTTGACGAGTCTTTTCTGTTGTGATGGAATCTTGTAGGAGGTGGGAGAGTGTTGTCGTCGTCATCATCAACAGGGAAATCGTCGGGGAGTTGGTCGGGGAAGACGGAAGCGATGGTGGTGTTAGCGTTTTGGAGCTCTTTGGAGATATGATCGTACCGCTCGGCCAAAGCACGGTAAGCCTTGAAAGCTTCTTCCACGAAACTTATCAATTCGGGTCTGCTCTTGTAGTACATTTCCGCACGCTTTGCGAACGAATCCCCCTCGTCTTCGAGCAGCTTTAGCGCGTATTGCGCCTTCTCCTCGATATCTACTTGCACGCATTTCCGTTACATTAGCCATTCAAGAGAGTATCATCAGTGACAAAACACGAGATCGAATTCATTACCTTGGAGGTTTTCTTCAAGCCATTTGGATTGCTTGGTGCGGATGTGGCTTGCCCACCACCATGAATACGCGTTGCTCGCAGCTCGACCCAGCATCCTCTCTCTCTCTCTCTTCCGAAGGAATTGGAAGACCAAATTTTTGGCAAAGATCCTGTCCTAAAGATCTCTGTCCTAAAGGTGAATCATCATTGCCGTAATAGTCGTCTTCTCTCTGTTTTTTTCTTTTGGGATCCTCAGATACGAAAGGGTAACGGAGGGCCCCACCCAGCCATCGGCAGATAGAGAACAGAGAGAGAGAGAGGGAGGCATATCTGTTTTCTTTCTATTTTAATATTCGTAGTAAGGAATGGTGGAGAGCAACATTCGGCTTCGGCTCCCCTAACTTTCCTCTGTTTTCTTTTCTTTTCAATATTTCAATCTAATCCCATCTGTAAAAACTTTAAAAAGTTATATAAAAAAAAAAAAGGATCTTCATATAGGAATAGTTTGTTGCATCACACATTGGCTCGACTCCCCTTGTGAGCCAAAAGCGATTGCCGACGAACAATACAAAAGAACACGTAGTTGTTGGAGAAGCATGCGACGCGAGATCTAAGCTGTCGGAACACACAGGTTGAAGAAAATAAAAGTACATTTATTTACTCACATCTACGGAAAAAAAGGAATTTTCCCAACCAATTTCTTGAAGCAAAGGGGGGAAAACCCAATTTTCTTCACCATTCTGCAAAAATCCACCGAAAGGATGCAGGGGAAATATCCAAATCTCCACATATTTTTGGCAACCTATGATCAATGATCATCTCTTTGCTCGGTCCCCCATTTCTGAAAACGGTGGAATCAATCCACGAGGAGCTTCTTTTGTTCGCCACCCACCCACCAAAAAACAAAAAACAGATAGGAATAACTCCAGAAGCAGAGCTATATCCACAGCCACAGGAGATCTTTTCCTTTTTCTTTTTTCTTTTTTCTTTCTGGTTGTTCTGATTCTTTTATTCGACGGCCCTTCAGAATTCAGAATTTCGCCAGGCGCCGAACAAACACCCTGTTGTTGTGTCTCAAGGACTGTCACAGCTTCCGCATGGACGACATCCACTTCTCCATGTTCTTCCCATCTGCGTGTTTTCCAGTGGATTTAAAGCCGTTCAATGTATCGTAACAAGCTACTAAGCTGACATTAAGAGTTTCTCTACAACCAAAGGTTTGAGCTTTCCACTAATAGGGCCTCTTTCCCAACAGCTAGATCAAAGTCATGAATTTTGGAGACATTGAAAAAAGATTTAGCGTTGGGCGTATTAAAAGATATAGAAGGCAGAGTAAGAATTCAGTGGAAGAAACCCTAATCAGCAGAGCACAAAGAGAACAGATCAAATACATGGGGAGATAAAGAACAAAGAAACAGAACATACCGGGAGAGAACCCATTTGGGAGATTGTTGGCAACACCCAGAATCTGGTTGCCTGAACCATCCATCACTTTCTTGTAGCACCGAACCAACACCACAAACCCACTGTCTCCATCCTCGTCCTCGCCATCGGCGGCTTTGAAGCCCGGTCCGTGTGGCTCGACCCACCCGATTGACCATTCTGGGTCGTCAGGTTCAGGGAACACCACATTCCCAAGCTTTTCCTCCTCTCTCCCAAGCCATCCCCTTCTCGCCTTCTTCGTTTTCTTAGGAAGGAATTTTGCAGGCTCCAACTGTGGGTTTAGAGAAGAAGACCCTTTGGTGATCGGCTCTTTCTCTCTGTCCTTACTGTTACCACCGCCGCACAACCACCTCGGAAGACGAGGGAAAGTGACCGCCATCTTTCTCTCGGTTTTGTTCACGGAGAAAATCTATGATTCATCCATCGTTCAGGAAGAACAGAACCGATACTGGATCTCTTGAAACCTGTTGCAATAAATAACCGTCTTATCATTCCTCTCATGCAATCAACATAATGCCATCATAATGAAAATTTTAAGCGTTGAAAGACAACCCAAAACTTGATCAAACATGACAGTTGTCCATAAAGATAACTCCTTTTCCGTTTTTTTTTTGTCATCAGCCGGATTTCAGATTCGTCTATTCGATTTCAATTAAAGGAATTACACGCCAAAACCTAAGCACTGACGTGACGGAATCTCGTGGAAAGTGGAAAATGCTTCTCCAGATCGTCCAAGCAAAGTCGTGGGAAATTAGTAAATCTGAAAGAGCCAAAAGGATGAACCCTTTCGCGAAGGAACGAGAAGCTTCGTCAAGGAGGATCACGCAGCCGCCATAGTTGACCCTACCATCGCCGGCGAAACACGGAAACGTTTCGCCGGAAGTATCGGAGAAAAGCCGCGGAAGAATATCCCAGAGAAAACCACCTGTAATTTCCACAAAACGCAGTTACCGGAACAACAAAATCGATCCAAGAAACCCTAGAATTCGTACTCCTCACTCCCTCCCGACTTCTCAAGGGTTAGACCTCTACTCCATTTATAATACCTTTTTTTCTTTTATTTTTTGCGATTTTATTATATTTTCTCAATCCAACGGTTGAGAGCGGTTTGCTTGGTCATGTGGCAACCTGGCGCACAGCTTCGCCATAGACCTGACCGCACTCAATAAAATCCTTGAATCCCAGAAAATCCACGATCTCTGATTGGATAAATTCCATAATGACCAGATAAAAACTATAACTATAAGTTAAATCAATATTTCTAAATTGGATGTGGGTACAGTTATAGTTATAGGGTTCAGTAGCTTTAATTAATGGAATCCATCACAACACGTAGCTACTATTTAATGCTAACACAAGGGGTGGTCTATACGCCTATATACACATGAATCTATATAATTTCATTAATGTATGTGTCGTTGACATATTAATTTGGGCCATTAATTTCTGTATCTGTTTTTAGATAAAGACAAATAAATGAAAACCCCTCCGCTCACATTATTCATGAATATGATACGTATATACAATGAAATTACGGATTAATGAAATTATTTCTACATTAAGAATATAAACTCCTTTTTCATTATTACTCTATTTTTGGCATTTTTTTCCCAAAGGGTCCCTGCTTTTTTCTAGTACATTTTTATAATATACTTTTTATGTGCGATATTTTTTTTTTAGTAACGAAAATCATTGCTCTTCGCCTCATCCGTTGATTCGGCATTAAAAAATAAAAAGAGACGGGAAAAGGGATGAACAAATACAAACCTAGAAAATATGTAAAACTAAAAATTTAAAGGAGAATTATTGCAACTAATTGGAATCTAAAGAGACTATACATAGCATATGCTACATATATTTAATTAAATATCTAATTTTAGTGATAATTCGACCGCCGCGTTTCATCTCATAGTTTAGGGACTAGGCGTTTGGTTCCATTTTATATTGGTTACAATTTTCTTAGTTTTGAGTTTTATTTTTGTAAACATATCTATTTATTTTTATAATTAATTTTAGGAAAGTTTAGATTATATTAAAAATATTTATTTATAGAAACATTTTTATTTAAGTTCAGATTTTTTTTAGCTTTTTATATTACAATATTATGGCTACGTATTATTATTACTCAATCAGAAATATCTATCATATAATAGTTGAAAAATTTGTGATTTCTCCAAAAGAAATAGCACGTAAAAATTGGACCACATTATGCTTAATAACGTATATCCAAAATAAAAAAATATATTGTGACGAGAGAAAAAAAAACGCATGTGGGTTTGTTCTCCTAAAGATGCTTCGCTCCATGTGTTGTGCAAATGCGTCGCGGGAAATATCAAGACAAATGTTTCTATCGTATAAAGTTATAAAAAAACAATTTTCATATAAAATCTCATCGATTTGGATTTATCCATACGATTATTTAATTTCTCCTCCTATTTTTTTTTTCCTATATCTTATCGAAAGAACTTGTGGGGTATTTTAGTAATAATACAAAGGTATTAGGCGTAAAATGAAAATATCATTTATCTTCGAGGATGAGTTTGTAAATAACAAACGGCGAGCATTATTACACACGAATCCAATTCGCCGCACGGATCTGACGTGGTGAGACACGTGGCAATCTCTTCGCCACTTTGTCTGGAGCTGCGTTCCCGAAACGACGGCGGATGAATCTCTCTGACTCTCTCCCTCGCCCGAGGTTGACGACGCAGATCTTCTCTTCCTCGTTTGTTGATTCCGAGGTAATATTATCGTTTGATTTCAGTTTTTTTTTGGGATTATTTGGCTTTATCTTTGATTCAGATTTCATTGTCTACTGTTTGCCGGTTAATGGTTCGGAGCAATTATGCCATTTGGCTATTTGGGCCTTCTTCTCCTTTGAACTCTCTGAAATTATGGAATAATCGACAAAGTTTCAGCTTCCTGTTCCTTCGTTTCTCGTGAAATATCGGGTCTTTGGTGTTTTATCTGTTTTCCGAAGAAATTAGGCTCTAAAGTTTCGATTTTTGGGTTTGTTTCTTCGTGATGAAATTAGCCCAATTTTGGCAGTTCTTCGTTTTCCTATTCTCCGTGTTGAGCTGGTGATATTCTCTGGAATTGTGCTTCCATTGATGAATTTGACAGGTGTGGATTCGACTGTGTTACCGTAGGGTTTCATTTGTATCCAGTGGAGGTTTTTGCTGGCAATATGCTCAAGGATCATACTCCATAGATTTCAACTGGCATGGAAACTTGTCTGAATGTTCTTGGATATGTTATTTGCCGTATCTGATTCCTACGTTCACACATGATTTCATTGGCATTCTTCATTTCTGTGTAGCAGATTTCCAGTTGCTGTTGGATTCTTTCCTCCTTTACCATTCAATCTTATATTGGTGTCTAAACGGTTATCCAAGAGCAGGAGACCTGTGTCTGCATGCTACTAGTTCTGCTGACTAACATATCGACTCTGGTCAGAAAATGGCCCTCTATGGTTTTTTGCAACTGCCCCATTTTCCGGGGCTTTGCAGGAACCAGAGGTGCTATAAGACAGAGAAGGTAAGCTTCTTGGCATTTATTAATGGAGTTTATCTCTTAATTTGTCCCCCTATCCACTAACATTCTGAGCTGTATGATTGTTCATTAGAGTGCCATGATCAGGACAAGGCTGCATCAATCAAATGGTTCTCTCTCATTAGGTGTTCCGGTACTATCTCAGACTCCTATTTAGTAGTAAAGTTTGGTTTTTTTAATGGCGATATTTAACTTACTTCTTCTCGTAAGACTTTGTTATTGTAGCCTAAGGTTTCACGGGTTCGGATTTTTTTGCAAAGGCTACTCTTATTCAGTAACATTTGGAGTTTTTTTGGCTTTGTGCAGTTGCGGCAATATGATCCTTGGCTCTCAGATTACTTGCATAGGCCCAGATTTTCAGTACTGCACAGAAGTTCAGTTCCATACAAAACATTTTCTTTTAGGTGTCATTCTGTTTATGCAGCAGGCAAAACAATCGAACCTGTCGTCAAGGCTGCCACTTTGGCACTAACAAAGTAAGACTTCTTGTTTCCATCATCTCATGAGTTATTGCATTTTACAAGGTTGTTATAATGTACACCCTTGTGGAATATGAAGCTATTATAGTTAGTGTAATTTCATTTATTTAACTTTGATGAAGGATTGGCTTATAATCTCCTGGTTTCCAACTTTAGATAATTCTTTTCTCGTGATAATCGAGTAAAAATGCTACTGTAGGGAGGTTACCGATGATGACGGTTGCCATTGTCATTGTCTTTGTTTTATCGTTTTGAGAAATTCTCTTGTTGCTAATATGCAGGTCTTACAATGTCATACAAGATTTCCCTATTGTATATATGTTGGTTCCAGCTATTGCTCTTCTTATTTTCTCGCTGTAGGGTGTAGTGCCACTTGTTCATCAAGGAAGAAACCTACTATTCAATGTATGTTCATCCATTTCAAGTTGATATGCTTCTTGTTTTCTTTCTCTTGTTTCCCTGTTAATCCTGACTCGGGGTCGAAATTTACATTGCAGAAGAGTGATAACAACTGGAGAAAGAGTAGTACGTACCGTGTTATGACTTTCTATATTCAACCTCTGCTGCTATGGTTAGGAGACTTATTCGTCTGCATGTATATGCATTACAGATTCCTCAATAGAGTTCTGAAACTTATCACCGGGATGGTTTTAAGATCATGACTGTTCCTTGTGTAGAACATTAGATCCTGTTGTCCTCCCAACTGAAGCAAGCCAACTTGTGAAGGATCGGGTTTTGAGTTTCGTGAGATCTTTGTCAACTGTACTTGCATTTGCTTACTGCTTGTCAAGGTACGTGTGCTGTCTTTTCCGGTTTCTAATGACTTCTAGTCTTCTGTACTAGCTGAATCTGTTACGTGGGTCGTCTCGTGATTTCTGATACGGATTAGATATTTCTTTACAGTCTTATCCAACAAACGCAGAAGTTTTTCACAGAGACAAGTGACCCCAATGATACAAGAAATGTATGTGCTGAAAAAAAATCAACAAAATACATGCTTTTTTTTGTTAACAATGGCTGTCTAGATGCAAAGATTATAAATTTATTTATTTTTTATTAAATAAATTGGACGTTGTCTCTGGAATGAGACAGATGCGATTCCAATTCGCGGGGAAAGCCATATACTCTGCTGTATGGATTGCTGCGATTTCACTGTTCATGGAATTGCTCGGCTTCTCTACACAAAAGTGGCTCACTGCTGGAGGTCTTGGGACGGTTCTGATTACTCTTGCTGGCAGAGAGGTGAAAACTGGATTGCCTTTTGGAATGAAAACTTGTCCTTTCTTTCTTGATCAAAAACATTTTTGCTTATATCAAGATTTGGCTGTTCCCAGATATTCACAAACTTCCTTTCAAGTGTTATGATTCATGCAACTCGACCATTTGTTCTGAACGAGTGGATCAAAACCAAGATTGGAGGTTATGATATATCCGGTACTGTTGAGGTTAGTAACTCTGTCTCTTTCTAGCTTCTGAGTCGGAATGTCTCGTTTCTATCCATTGAACGCTGCTTTTGTCACTGCAACTCTTTATACAGCACGTTGGTTGGTGGTCGCCAACTATCGTAAGGGGTGAAGACCGTGAGGCAATACACATCCCGAACCATAAGTTCACAGTCAATGTCGTGAGGAATCTTACTCAGAAAACTCACTGGCGTATCAAAACTCACCTTGCAATCAGCCACTCGGATGTTAACAAAATCAATGTCAGTGGTTTCACCTCTCTCTGCTCTTTAGTTAAGTTTTACTTGCTGTCTGGTATGAGATATTTTTGTCTGATTCTTGTTCTAAACAGAATATTGTGGCTGACATGAGGAAGGTATTGGCCAAAAACCCTCAAGTCGAGCAGCAGAGGTTGCATAGAAGAGTTTTCCTGGAAAATGTCAACCCCGAGAATCAGGCCCTCCTGGTAAGATTTCATGTCTCTGCCTTATGTATCAGATACAAGATATAAGAAGACAGATTCTCAGCAGAAATTTACATGGCTTGAATTGATACAAGCTTATATCTGGATTCATTCTCTCGAGGGATTTTCTTACAGATACTGATCTTTGTAATCCACCCATTACAGATACTGATCTCATGTTTTGTGAAAACGTCTCGCCGCGAAGAATACTTGTGTGTGAAGGTAAGACAAATGTTTCTTCTCAGACGTCTGTTCTTGTTCCATCAACTCATTGAGAAAAGAAAATAAAAGGGAAAATTCTCTCTTCAGATTTTGGCTTAGTCTCCTGTATGTCGGTTGATGGGACAGGAAGCCATATTGCTGGATCTTCTCAGAGTCATAAGCCACCACCGAGCACGTCTTGCCACACCAATCCGTACAATACGAAAGATGCATACTGACTCTGACATGGAGAACCCACCATTTGGAGATTCGGTATATGACCACCGAGGTGGTGTCTCGTCCAGGCGGCCTCTGTTCCTAATCGAACCCTCATACAAAATCAATGGAGAAGACAGATCGAAATCTCAAAACCGGGCATCAAAATCTACTGGAAAGCAAGAAAGCAAGAAGATTTCAGGTTCCAAGACAAACGAAGTTCCACCAGTGCCACCATTGGATCCACTGGTGAACAAGGTAACTGATGAAGTTGGAGCAAACCCAGAAGCAAAATCCATCTCGAAACCAAACCCGGCGAAAGATTCAGAGGCATCCGGAGCTGAAAAAGCAGCAAAGATCAAGAGCAGTTATGGCGCAAAGCCACCAAAGAACAATGGAGATGGTGAAACTGAGAGAGCAGATGGGTTGCCAATGGCGTCAAGATCGGCTCAAGATCGGCTCTGGAGGAGAATATCGTTCTTGGGGTCGCATTAGAAGGCTCAAAGAGAACTCTTCCCATCGAGGGAGAGATGGAACCACCACCTGCCATGGAACTCGCTGGTGCTCGCAGAAATGGAAACGGGCTGGCCACAGGCAAGGAAAAGAAAGATGGGCAATGCCAAGCAGATCCTGGTGCATCCACTGAGAAATGAAATGTATATAATGTTTCAGTTCGTGGATCTGATTCTTGCCCCTCAGACATCATAATCAGAGTGTATTTTTTTACACATGATTGACCAATGAATGCAGAAATGAATATATTTTATCGTCTCATTGTAAAGTACTACAGTACATATCAGGGGGGGGGCAACATAAAACTATTCAGCTGAACCCATCATTGTGTGGCTTCCACGGATGCTCGCCCGACCAAAAAACCTCGGAAGAGATGGAACTGTTAGGATCAGACATGACACATGCAGTCAGGAGCAGGGTAAGTGTATAAGGACTGTTTCGTCTTCCTTAAACGGATCTGTCCATGTCTGTTCACGTGCCCTTCACCCACCGCCTGCTGAAACTCAGTCCATGTTATGTTTTTGTTGAGGAACAGCTGTCCTATTAGCGCCATGTTCGGCCTTATGGTCTTCCGATTCTCGAATGTCCTATGACCCACCTGCATGTTGATTGATTTCCTTATTAATATGAATTCAAAAACAAAAAAAGAACAGAGATCAAAGAAAGTTGAGAGTAATACGGACAAGAGCGTTGTGCATGTTTCCTGGAGAAGCAGAGATGAAGATGTCACTGTGCATGCTGACATAGTAATCGACCGCAGCTAACAGAGAAGCTTTTCCTTTGATACGAGCACGATCTGAAGAAGAAGCAAGACTTCTCTTGTCTTCCATTCTTGGAAACACTTGTCTCAGTGTCGAAACCCTAGCTTCCCCTCCATATACCTAAACAAGATTGATCAAGAACCAGTCAGCTATGGAGAAATCTGACATTATTTCCAAAAGGGTATGTTAGATAGTGATCATGCCCGGAAGAACAGATAACAACTCGGGTCGAAGACCTTGTGGGAAGCCAGATAGAGACGGGTGCTGTTGTCGAAGCCAAGAGCAGCAAGGACAAGGCCGATCTCTTCTGGTGTCAATGGACAACGGCCTTGGCTCCTCAGCTCTTCGTCGGTGAACTGAGAGTTGAGGACTCTCCCTTGCCATATCATTTGTCGGTATTTGGCCAACGCCAATTTCTCGGCCTTTCCCCCGCCAAAGTCACAGGCAGAGTGAGCTGCCATGTCCTGAAAACACAACACTAACCCCTTCAACATCATATCTCCATATCATCGAAATATCTTAAAGTGTGACAAAGCCTTAATACCTTATCGAACCGGAGGTGAAGAACAACAAACTTCCCCGGTTCTTGTCTGCTGTGGGAATTCCTCATGTCCCTCAAGTGATCCACATCTTCTTCTTCCTCTTTGTTTCTCCATAAAGGGTTTCTAAGGCGGCTCACAAGAGAATCACCGAGTTCTCTAATGTGGGGCACAAAGCTCAGTGCTTGGAAGTTTACTTTGCATCTCAGCCGTTGGATTTCCGCAGGTAAGTTGTCGAAAGATAGACGGTGTGAGAACGGAGCAATTGCAGCGATCCCGAAACTACATCACATACCGAAAACCCGACATCTATTAGTTTACATCCGAGGTTTGAGAACTGAGAATGTTTCTTGTAAGATTTTCCAGCTTTAAAGGTCAGACCTTTGGAGAAGAGGCAAGACATTCTCGAGATACCAATTGGAAGAAGCATGAACAGGTGCGGTTTTCACTCGGGTTTCACGGATTGTTGCGGCATAGTACTCTCTTGTGCTCCATGAAAAATTTTCGGGTAGCTCTTTAACTATCCTTACATCATTTTTCAATACTTCGATAAAGTGATCCACATCAAAGATTTCCACAAACGAACTGTAAAATGAAAGGACTTCAGTTTAGATCCTCTGGATTTGCTCACTGCAACTTTAAGAATCTATGGCAGAGAATCATTACCTGGAATCTTGCCAAACAGGATTCACTTCAAGATACGGGATGACGAGGGTGGCGTTTAGTATCTTGGCAACAGCAACCGCATCGCATATCTGTAAATAATCGATTATAGTCGAATATTCCATAGCTTTCCATACAAGATTTCGCAGAAAAAATGTGGAACTTACACCCATTCGCTGCTGGTTCAGCCCTCCATCGAGAAAGACCTGGATGTATCCCTCTGATTTCTCTGGTAATGCTAACACGCGAGAAAGAAAATTCAGTATATCATGAACAAAAAAACGCGAGAGTAAGCAACAGTGAATGATCATTTCTTCAGACTTACAAGGGCCATTTCCTGAATCAATGCACGGTCTCCATCCTTGATCGGTCAATGGCCTCCACAGATCAGACTGTTCTCCGCTCGGCTGAATAAAAACCCGGAAAAACTCGATGATTATTAGTTCTATTACAGAAAAGATACAGGATCAGAAGAGCCAATGAGAAACATCAACTTACACGTTGTAATGAACTCTTGAGCAAGGACAAATGCCTAGGTTTCACAGTGTTCCATTCCTGCATCAAATTGCTGAGTTCATCAGATCTTTTCCTTTAACAACCCAACAAATTTGAAGTTTTAACATGAAAATTTGTTGCATAGTTAGACCGCAAGATAGTTGGAACGCCGGTCTGATCTAAGTCTATTACAGGTAATTGTACCTGTATTACTCTAAAAACTTGCCAAATATGGGCATTAATCTGATTATCCACTTCAATGTAGAGGCCAAAGAGGAACTCGAATTGAACTGAAGTTTCCTAACGCAATAAATCGAACCAAAATACCCATTTTCTAAAAATGTACGAGCTTGAGAGGTGTCTTCAACGTGCAATGCAAAATACCATTTCTGAAATCATAATCCATGATCAAGTGAACTTTCCAGGGGAAACGAGTATGTTTTTTTTTTTGTCCAAAAACGCAAGCTTGTCCGGAACCGACCGAAAGATTCTCAGAAAGAAAGGAAAGAAATTTCCAACTTACAGATGAAGTCGAAGAAGCAGCTTGGCTCAGTGGATTGAACAAATCAGGGAATAGAACTGGAAACAACAAGACGAAGAGCACAGGGAGAGTTCCTCTTCTCAGAATCTGGGCAAGAACGCTACCTTTCTCGTAAAGATTCATCTTTTAGGCAAAATCAACGATACCCAGATCCAGGTTCTGTGGAAGCTATAAACTTTGATGAAAACCCAGATAAGAAACAGCCGAAAACGATCAAAGGTTGTCCGAAAACGACGCAGAAGAAGATACAGAAAACCAAAAAAGCCCAAAGAAAGAAACAGGGTCACATGAAACTTTCTCTTCGCTCCTTCTTCCACTTCTCGGGAAGAATCGGTCTTCTTATTTAATTTTTTTCGCTTACTTTGGAGCAAATGCAGAAACTTTCATCTCTTCCCAGACGGTACATTTCCGAGAGAGGGTTTAAAGCATCTCACATGAACACCTGTTCACTAAATTCGCTGTACATGGGTCCCGTATTTCCAGCGGCATGAACAAATCTCTTTTTTTTCGCAAAAAAAAAAAGAAATCGGTGAATAATCACTTTTGTTATCGTGACACGGAAAGAAGAAGAGAAAAGGCCATTTTCAATCAGCGTTCGATGTCACACCAAACTTTTTCTTTCACGCATTGATTAAAGATTCTCGACAATGTTTCTTGAAGTTCTTACAAAAGCCAGTACAGTAGTCACCTGATATCACTGAACTTTCCGTAACCATTAGTTTGGTCATGTAATTATTTATTAACGGCGGTTAATAGCAGACAATCTACTGTTTGTCCATCCCAATTGGTCATGAAAAATCATTTTCTCATATGATAAAAAAATGTATAATCAGTGCATAAAATATGCTGTGAAAAAGTTGGAGACTATTTTTGTAAATATGGGTTTGGTGAGGTTTTTTAGGTGAATTTCTTTTTTTTTTTTTCTGATTTTCGACCGTTGTGGGTAGAAAAAGACAAACCCCATTTTTTTGTACGTTCTACTGATAGTGGAAACCAATTCGGCGTCATACGGTCTTGAAATCACCACCGCTTAAAATGAACCAAAAAAACCCTCCACCGACACTTGCGCATCCAGCAAGCAAACACGACATTTTATTATTATTATTATTATTATTATTATTATTATTATTATTATTATTATATAATCTGGAATTCAATAGTTAGAGCAATGTTCTCCACGTATTTTTTTTCTTCTGGTTTTATGTAAACTTGAAGATGGGCTTTTATTTTATCACACTTTAGCATCATGAAAAACAAGAAACATTGAATTGGGTTTGTTCGTAATCAAGCATAAAACAGTTGGGTATTTATTGGGCCTTCTGTAACTGTTCCATTGACATTTAATGGGCTTAGCCCAACTGTTGAAATACATTCTCTTTTGAGCTTTTGGGCTTCTTGAATTCATACTAAGGAATATATAAGTGGGCCTAGAGATTGAATTGAATGCCCTAACGGCTAACGGCTAACGGCTCACGGTCATTTGCTCCGCCATTGTAGCGTTCCTCTTCC